ATACAGTTAGTTATGTTTAAATGGAAGACGGGGAGTGGGCGTGTGTCCTTCATCTCTAGCGGAGGTGAAATGCAAGATGTCCCATCCCAGGTGTCGGAGAAGTTGCATCAGTTTAATTTTTCTTGTGACTTAACTGTCATTAGGGATGCTCATTTTCTTGATGAGCTGAGTCATATTTCTCCTTAGAATAAACCATTATTTTATTGTATATAATTATTGGGGGCAGTTGTGTTTCTAATTGCTGAGTTTGCCCCGCCGAGTAGACCTGTTGTGTCTCCATTTAAGCAGGCCACTGCTTAAATCTGCCCAGCTGACCTTTGGGCGGCTCTCCAGTTGGGTCCGATACAAACGCTTTCCTTAAAAGATGGATTTATTATCATTCAAGTAAAAATGATTACAGCATTTGCCTTATGCTTGTTGCATGCATTGATCTGAAAGTGCAGAAGAAATTATTTGTCAAGTGCCTTTTGGGTTTCACAAGCTGTCTGGGGATTTACAGTAGAAAAAATGTTTCTCCTTTTTTTCAGCTGTACAAATTGATTGTCCGCTCTGTTGGAATTGAACAGAGCAAACGCCCTATCAGCCGTGCGGGATGGGCTGCCGTACGTTCGTACCCAAAGAGAGCAAATGTGAGCAGTTCAGCTTGATTTTTAACTGTGGTTCAGGCTCTTTCCTCGTTAAACCACCTTTGGAAAATCAATGGAAAATTCAATGGGTTTGAATGCAGTTGGGCGCCTTCATTCGGGAAAGCGCGAATAAGACCGGTGTTGCCTTTTCTGAGGAAGATGGTCGCTCAGAATAATTTTTTACCTTAACTGAAAAGTTAAGGAAACCCAGTGTCTTGCAACTCTCTATGCATTAAAATATAATATTATGGGGGTGCTGGAAAGATGGTGATTAAATGCAAACAGCACATCTCCCTGTCTTGGTTGTTGAACCTTTTGCATCCCCTTGCCTTTGGAATAACGCCCGACTACATTTTTTAAACCATTAATTGCCTTTTACGCCAGCAGCTCTCACTTTCTCCTACTCCCATGAAGGAGAGACACGCTCTGGAATATTATCCTCTGCAATTGTAATTAAAAATGGACTCTGGCTGGCAGAATAAACTGAAATAAACCGGCAACGCCCCTATTTAAAAATTAACCATTACTCGCCAAAGGCACATCAAACCCACTTAGCGGACATCCGTTAATCCCGCGGTGAGCCGTTTCAGGCTTTAATGCACACTGTTTTACACGTTAAGGGTTTTGAAGTCGCGGGCCAGCGCTGACCTTTCGCATCTGCTCCTCTCGCAGTAGGAATCTCCGCTCGCCGCTCCCCGTCAGGGCGGATTAACGTGACGAAGTGCAGCGCTTCTGCTGGCTGCAATTTCGGGTTTTGATCAGAATTATTTCTTTCACAAACAATCACGTTTGGCTAAAACGTTACATCTGCTCTGAAAAGCCACTGGCAGGCCCACAGTTTATCGGGGTGAGGCGAGTGTAATTTTTTTCATTCCTCATTTATAAAGCTGCAAACCCGCTTCGCGTAGGGTTTTTTTTGGGGGGGAGATCTTCCCTTCTTCCTCCCCTTGCCTTTTTCTTCCTTTAATTTTGTTGGGCTGAGATGAAAAGTTGCTTTGGAGGAGCATAAAGCTGGTGGTGATGTCTTGGAGGGGTTTGGTGGGGAACATGCAGACGAGTGGGGAGCCCCATGCTGAGTCAGCACCGCACCGCTGGGTTCACTTAGTGCCAAGGGTGCTTTGTAGGAAAACGGGTTTTATTCCTAGGATCGAAGGGGAAAGTCCTGATTTCATGACCTGGTGTGATTTTCCTCATGCTGTGATGAGAATAACAGCAGGCAGTTACATATATGTCTGCATGTGACCAAGGTGTCCCTGGTGGGGAGAATCTTAATTCCATGGTACAGTGGGTGGGTGCTTGTAGCAAGCAAAAATACTGTTAGCTGTACAAGCCCAATAGTTGTGTTTATGCGTGCATCTTGTAATGCCCAATCTAATAAAAATCCAGAGGAATACAAAGGGATTCCCTTTGTGGTGTGCTCGTATGAATTTCTCAAATTTGACCTTCACTGGAGGACTCACATTAATATTTGTCTCCCCTTGTGAGGCCATCTCTCTGTTCCCAGGTGTACCGGTGTACAAATGGTCTGGGCTGCCCAGTGGGAAGCCTTGTGCCTTAGTAAAAAAACGACCAACAAAAAGCCCGTGGAACCTCTCCAAACATTGCACATCGGCTGTACGCTGTGGCAGCCAGGCATGCACTTGGAGCACACGGAGGGGTCTGAAGAGACTTGAAAATGCTGAGTGTAGGTTGTCTGTCTGAATTGGTGGCCTAAAAAGTGAGCCTTGTTCTTAATAATGTAACTTAACATAGCTACCTTTCTCCATTTCCCCATGACCTGCTCCAGCTGTTCTTCCACCTACCAGAGGCAGGAGATGAAGCACGGGTCTAGGGGACCTATAGATCACATAGGGAACAGCAGGCATGGCAAACCAGGCAAGGTACCCAACTGCTCCGAGGTTGAAGGATGCCCCGAAGAGAAACATGTGGTCTGGGAAGATGCTTGCTCTCTCCTACTCTTTCTTCAAAGGATCTGTCACTTCTAGACTTGAAATGTCCATTGTCAAAATAATATTTGAATTTTATAGTGCTATATAAATTAAAAGCCTGCCAGTGCTGGCCCAGGTAAGTCTCCTGCTGAGTTCACTGCCCCCGTGTATCATCTACGCTCTTCTACTATAAGCAGCGTCCAAGCATGAAGACCCATTCTGACAATACAGCAGGATACTTTCAGCAGCTGGGTTGAGTGAAATGATTCCCTGGCTGGATTTGCAGTAAATGTGCCTCGGTTTGCTTTATTTTGTAGCATCAGGTCTTTTTAGATTCTGGCTTGGCCAAGGGGGTGATGGGAAGACCTCTTCAGATTCCTCACACCTCCATCGTGACTCCTCTGTTGCATGTTTGAATTGTTGACCTTGTCTTTAAAAAACCAAACCGAAACAAAAAAGCCGACAGCGTAGTGGGTAGGAGGATAGTGGAAGATGAAATGGTCATAAGACCAGCCGCTGCTTCTCTTAATCCATCATAAAGCAATGCCTTTCTTACCACTCTTTGATGTTTTCTTAGGATCATAAATGGCAGAGATTTAGAGGATTATCAGAGGCAGGATATGATTACCCTTGGATACTCAGCAGAGAAGATTTTGGATATTAAACTGGTAGTACGTGTAATCTTGGCCAAAAGACCAAGGAAAATTTCGCCTGAGCGCTCCCTATGTTATCAACAGCATGTATGACATGTGAGCTCCATTTTCATGTCTGCAGAATGAAATCATTCCTTTGCAGACGAGTAAAAAGAAAGATGGGGGGGGAAACAGTAGTAGTTTGTGCTGCTGTAGCCAGGTCTGTTCCATCCAAGATGTGGTGCGATGGGATAGTGAACTTCTCTGCTCTTCCACGCCGTGGCCGAGCTCTGTAGAAGTCAGAGGACTTGAGCACCTTTTTGAAGCGGAGCGTTCGTGTCAATTAATTCTTGTTTGGTCTGGTTTACGATGGCTTCATGTCACGGGCTGGCACCGCGTGCTTGAGGACGGTTGGTTGGTCCTTGTGCAGCACGAAGCACGTCGGTGAGCAGAGTGCCTTGGCAGAGGGCTCGGGGGCCCGCATTCAACAGGGTGGGACTGGGGACTGGCTGCACCTTGTTACCAGTTTATTTTTATAGTGGTTTGTGTGATGGCTTTATTACGGTACAGCCGGGGGTTTGATTTGCTGGGCCAAACATTTGCTTTAACAAGTAAAATTATCATTGTTCTTTCAGTTGCGCAGCCAAGAGAGTTTATTATTTTAAGTGACTGATTGCTTTAGCAGGTGCTCGGTTAATGGGGGCTTCACTGTATTTAATGTTTTTAGGTAGGGTGCAAAAAGTTCATTTTAAAAAGTCATGTTTCTTGAAATAGCTATTTTATTTGGTGTAAACCTCCTAAGTGCAACCTTTATATTCCATTTTTGAGCACAAAGCACACAAAAATGGCTTGGGAGGTGGAGAGTCACGTTTAGCCGGCTACGCGGCTGGAGGATTTCTTCCATGTTCTAGTTCAGTCCTGAAACCTGGGATTATTTTCCTTCTTTTTGTCTAAAATCTAACTCGGAGACCTACATTTCTGAATGAATAAAATACTCCTTATGAGGCTATGTTTACCTAGAGTGCGAAGGAACTGGAACTGGGGGGGGAAAAAAGCATTTAATTTGAATATTTCTATATGAAGTGAGATCTCACAAATATCGTGTGACCTTGTTCCAGGTTTGGTTGGGATTTAGGGTGTCTACTTACTTTGCAGTAGTCTTTATGGGCAACTAAGTTTATTTTTATCTACCTATAAGCAAATGAATGTATTTTGTAGTAAGGTAGTATTGACCCAGCAGAGTCTAGGCTTGAAACTTCTATTAATCACAGGAAAAAGGGTTTATGCTGCTTTAAGGCATCTCTATGTTTTCCCACTTCCACTCCATCACGTTTATAGAGCTCTTTGGTGGAGTAGGTGATTAATTTTGGCGTGAAGTCTGTTCATTGAATCACCGAGCATATTACCTGCTTTCTGTTCGTGAAATCCAGGTGCAATGACTACCAGTAATAAAAACGAGAATAGGAAAAATGATCGGAGGCTGCTGGAAAAGTCAAGATGTGACAAGGAAGAAGGTGTGATAGATGTAACATTTTGCATCAGATTATCACCAATAAGAGGAAAAAAGGTCTTAAGTTCAGCAGTTATGAAAATCCTGATGTAAACGGGCTTAGAAAAGATAAAGTTGAGGTTTGTCGTGCAGATCGCACGCGAGGGTATTTCACACGCTTAGCGAGCGCAAGGGGGAGGGGGAAACAAAGCGAGGAGAAGGATTTAAGAGCAGGTCAGTGCTCTCCACCTTCCTCTGGGTCCCTTTTCTTGCTTTGATCCCCATTTCCCTTGGCCTTAGCAGCAAATTTGTATTTGTTTTTCAGAGCAGTCCAGTCTCAGGTGGGGCAAATTACACTTGCACCTGCTTTGTGGCAACGTGATGTCATAGCTTAGGTCACTGCCGCGCTGGGGAGACGAAGCCTTTGACTCAAACCTCCTCTTGGAGAGCTTCATCTCGAGCATCATCGGGATGGTGCCGCACCTGGTCTAGATTGTGCTGAGCGAGTGTAAACTTCCGAGCGGCTTGGGCTTTTCCTGGGACAGCATTCCTGAAATTGCCTTCTGTCATCTCCTGCGGCTCTTGACATTGTACCGGTACCTGTGTGAGAAACGTCCCCACTGAGGAAAGGCCATGCCTCCGAGCTCCGCTTCTCTTTGCCTCCATTTATTCTTCATGTTCTTCAAATTGGTAAATCATATGACAATAAGCAGAAATGCCCTCAATGAAGAGAGAAGGGGAAACTGTTGTTTATCTGGTCAGGTGGTTTAGATTAGCAGTGATGCTGGTCTGTATTATGTTACTTTAAATCATAGTGTCCCAACAGGACATAAATTATGAAGATTGTTACAGTATGTTTCATCCAATGTAAGATCAACAAATTGGAATAATTTTTTTTATGGGAAAATCAGTGCTTTGGCAAGGTTATTGTTGAAGAATTTAATTTAACTGGAGCTTTGCTTGCATTATTTCTTAATATATAAAAACTATTTGCATAATGTATGAAGTATAAACATTTTTAGAATCAAAGGCAAGAATGCCTTTTCCAAGATTACATAGAGTGGCAAACTACTTAGAATAGATCAGTGTTTGTGCTTTTGCTGTCAGAAATGTTTGATATAGAGCTGGCGAGCTAGTTTCTTCACCGACATAATTGTAAACAAGTGTTGGGAGACAGAAACGGCGTTCTTTGTAGAACAGGGTGTAAAGGTTTTCACATACGCCGCTGCAGATCTAACATGGAGAGCAGTGTTTACAGCTGTAGTATGAATATAAATAGGTAACTTTTTTTAGAGCGCAAGGCAGCATTTCACTTTTGTGTAAACGATGTGTGCAGATAAGTATGGGGGATGCGAGCCGTCAGCTCTGGATGTTCGGAGGATACAGTAAACGCAGAAAAGCATTGACTATTAAGTTGGAAATTGTAGCTGTGGGGTTTTTTTTAGTTTCACATTCCGTTACGAAGGCAGAAATGGCATCTCAGTACCTGCCAGTATGTCTGTAGCATTCCTCTTCCATCCGTTCCCTTTACTGGTGTCTTTCACAGTACCACTTTCCCCAATCCCAGGTGATGCTTGGGGAGCAGGAAGGTTGGCTGCCTTCACGATATTTTGCTGCTGAGGCCATTAAAGAGGAGAAAAAACATGTCTCTACGTGTGATTTGTTAGGTGGTGTTCACCTTCAGGATGGTGTAGTGCCATCTCGGGGGTGGGATGGAGGGAGTAGGGAAATGCCGGCACAAGGCCGGCTCATCCATCGCTTGCGCGCTCACCGGAGGGATGGGGATGTGAATAATCTGAGTTTAGCTCTATTTTGGGACATGATTTAGTTGTGTTCTTAAGGACTGTCCCGCTGTTCTTGGAATGGTGTTAAAAAGGAGAAGAGCAATGGGAAGGTTTTCCCCTGGTTTATGTCGTGGATGAATCCAGACAGGACCGAAAAAAAAAAAAAGAAGAAAAAAGGAAAATACCTAGTGCCACATGGATCCGGTGTCCTTGGGGATGGTTCAGGCAGGAGGATGATGCCAACTGGGAAGAATCCCAAAATGGGCACGTGGTTTTATGGAGGAATGAATGCCTGTCCTCCTGTGCTGCCATCACCTTCCTAAATACGAACTGGATTCCTCTTTTTTTTTGTGTTTTAACCATGTTGTCACTTTGAGATGAAGAGTGTGGCCTTGTGAGATGATTTTTGCATATTTGTAAGGTAAAAGCCTTTCTTAATGTAGTACATAGAATTAAAATAAAACAAACCCTGGATTTTTCTTGACAGCGCAACAGAAAATATCATGAGGTTAAGTCAAACCTTCATGACTAGCTAAACATAACTTAAAATAGCTCAACATTAAAGAGCTTTTTCCTTTTATCTGCTGGCCCGTAGCTCGCTGTTAGGTACTGACATCAGCTGGGTATGCGAAAGCTTCTGCAGTTTGGAAGTGAACCTTAGTGGTTTGAGTTTATTGTTGTTGTAAGTGTCAGGCTGCTACGGGGAACGTGTGCGATCCGCGGTGTGCAAGGGTGCTTCTCACTTGGGTGAATGGAAAGCCAATGTGTGCAAGCAGATCTCTTGCCCTGTACGACAATGTCACTGTAACTTGGTTTATTTATTCGTTTCCTACTGATAAATGATAGAGATGTGGCCCGGGTGGGTGGAGATGGGAAGACAGGTAGCCCTCACACTGCAGAGGGTCAAGGTTAACGCTACCTCCAGCGTTATAATGACAGATGGGAGGCAGAAACCGTAATGTACTTGTGATTAGCATATGGTTTCCTTGGCTGAGCGTCCGAAGGATTGAAGAAGCCCGGGTACGTGCTTCATAGCGTACGCATTTTAAAACAAATAAATAAGAAGTGTGTATGGTTGTGTTGTTGAGCCTTTCCGCTGGTTTTCTTGAATATCTCCACTTTCGAGTCAAGTGCTGTCAGCCGCGGTGCTCCGGAGCTGCTCTGGGGTAATCCATCACTGGGGACTCGCGGGTGGGTGATGTATTAGCACGACATACCGACCTGTGTGGCTTTGATGTGTAACTCATCAAGATAACGTTGGCAAGCGTTGTACAAAAGCAGCGTGTTTAAAAAGTATTAAGATGAATTGATTCCTCACTTCAGAAGTGTGAAGGGAAGAATAACAGCAGCTTAGCTCCGGGATGCCGCGGTTCTCCCGGCGCTGTGCCGTGCAGAGGGGCGGATGGAATTTCATCTTTCCTCCCACTTCTGACAGCAAAGTGCCTGGCCCTGGTGTTCCCATTCTCGGGCACCAAAAGTCGCGTTAAGTCTTACTTTGTGATAGCGCATTTTGTCACTTTCAAAAGCGGTTTGGCCGGCCCCGAAACATTCTACGATGGCTGAATTTTTTAAAGGTTTTTTTGGTTTGACTTGGGTTTTTTACTTTATTAGGTTAACTTGTTCTAAGAGTAGCCCTGATTTGTATCTCACAGAGACATGCTGTGGCTGGTAGTATTTTAAAACCATTTTAGAAGTGAGGCTACAACTGAAACACCATTAGTTTTTAGTTCCTTCTTTTGTGATCTTAAAAGACCTGAGGAGAAGAGGCTTACTGGCACACCCAAGGCATCTCCCGTCTGTGCAGAATTGCTTCACCCCTTACTTGTTCTAGCGCTGTTCGTGGTTCATGACAGGGGTTTTGTGGTCTGCCGTGACTTAGGTGATGTGATGAATTTATTTAAGAATAACCTGTATGCCTGGATGTTATTTTAGCCCAAATGTCCTAAATGGATTAGGTTGAAAATGTCTGCCTAAGATGCCTGTTAGTGAAATGTCAGAATACTTCCTAATACTGAGCACATCAAACTCTCTTTTAATACTTTGCAATGGCTTCTAGAAAATGCCCAAGTCCTCTCTTTTTTATTTCTCAAGGAAAAAGCTGAAGGAGTTCTCGTCAGGGGCCGAGGGGCTGCAGCACTCTGTTATTGGCATCGCGAAAGTCAAGATTGTGTTGGGTCTTACTGTCACGAGTAAAGTGCTTGCCCCACTTTCATCAAGAAACGTGTGATGGTCTGATAAACTCTGCCCACCAGTGCAGTCTTGACAATGATCTTGCACTGCAGACTGCTTAATAATTTTCATTATTTTTAATTAAAGTTGAAGAAGTGCAGACTCCTGCTCAAATTAAGGTTGGTTGTGTTGCCGGAATGTGGTAATTACTTTAATTGATCACAAGATAGTTTCCTTGATCACCAATTAGACCAAATTACCGATCAAGTTTCAAGACGTGAAGAAATGTCCAAACTGATTTTATGTAATAGTGTTTTCATATCTAATCAAACCTAAATATCTTTTCCTTCCAGAGCCAATTGTATTTTCCCAAAGAAAGGTTACGGCTCTACAAATATAAAGGTGATTCATAAACAATAGCGTTCCAATTCATTTAATTAGCAAAGGAAGTATTTAGGACCTTAATGGAGATTGCGCTGGTGAAATTGCTCGGTAGAACTGTAGCTCATTTTCTTGGGGGGAGATACTTTTTGCGTGCAATTAAAATAAACTAAAACACAAGAAGTAAGTTGCTTTGGGTAACGTGCAATGAGGGAGAACCTCTCCAAGCAGAGCGGGGCATGCAGAAAGGCGGGCACGACGGGTGGGTGTGTGAGCTTCGTCCTTCGCTGTAACCCCAGGTTGCCCTGGCTGGGACAGTCGTGGTCAGCTGGAGCAAGGAGCAGCAGGACCTGTCCTGGGGAGGGTCCTCTGCGCCAGAATTAATCCCTTTCCATGACTCGGACAGCCCCAAGTTGATCACTCGTTGGGAAGATGAACACTGTTAAGACCAACGACTCTTTTTTCCATCTGGAGACTTTTTGCTGTCGGGGGGGGGAAGATGCGGTGGGTTGGCGTGGCGGTCCGCTGGTCGGAGAGGATGTGGTGGTCCACCGATCGGGAGGGCTTGTCGCCACAAAGCGTGGAGGAAGGGCTGCGGAGCAGATTAATTGGGTAGACTCGTTTGCTTGCGTGGTTCGCCCTGTCTGCCTTCCGCTGGAGCGACGACTGTTGTCACACGGTCAATGGATTGCGCTGGCGTTGTGTAACCTGCGTATACACACAGGAGGGGGAGTTCCTGGCATGGACAGACAGACAGACACTGGTAGAGCATTCATGAGCCTGGGAGGGTTTTCATCAATTTAATATATTTTTTCCCTTGCTGCTTGTTTGCACAAAGGCGATCCAGTCGCAGATGCAATTGCTGGTTTAACCTTTCGGGGACATTTCTGTGTATAGGTGTTGGAAATAGCATTCCTGTTAAGCCCATGGACGCTCTGAAAGCCGTTAAATCAAATGTCTTTCGGAACTATTAATGCAGAAGTGTTCCAAATCGTTGCTAACGTCTAAATGCACAACTTGCAGCTCTCCGCCTCAGAGCGTGCTGCCCAAACATTTGCAAATTTTTAAAAGTAATTGTTCACTCGAAGTAAAACTAAACCAAGTGAGAGCTTCAAGGGAAGTTAGGTTTTCCCGAATTTTGGAATGCTCTTGGGTCAAAGAAAAAAGCTTTTTAATTGCTGACAGTTTGGTGATTTCCAAATGCCAAACCTCATTGGAATGATTTTCTCTGATTATAACGTTTGCATTCATTTGACTGGCAAAGCGACTAACAAAGTCATACTTCATCCAGGCACCGATTCTTTTTTTACCTGAAGGTTTTTGTAATTTGTGAGAGGAAAAAAGACTGAAACTATTATCAACCATTATATGTTATTCATTGACCACATGTTTGTTTGAAACAGCCATCGCTTGGTGGAATGCGGGCTATATACATTCTCTTCCATAAATTAGCACTAAAAAACTACCTAAATCAGGTAGGGTTTGTTGGGCTTGTTGTATTATAATATGAACCAGACTATAACGTGGATGTTACTTTTGCTTTGCATGTTAATTCAGGTCCTGAACCCCGATGGATGGAGCTTGGTATGAACACAGCCCGCTGACTTAGAGGCGTCCTGCTCACGCACTGAGGCCCTTCGGGCCCCGCTGTGTAATTGCGTTCTTGATTTACATGGACATTCTAATTTTCTTTATAATGTAGTGATTTGCTCCTAAGTATTTTGGCAAGGACCTGCTATTATTTTCTTCTTGAGCCTGTGATAAAACCTGCGTCCTGGGGGAGCGTGCTGGGGAGAATATAGGGGCAGAGGATTGGGAAACCTATTTTTACTCATTTTAAGGGAAAATATTTTCTCCTAAAGCAGAGGGGCAAACCTCCCTGCCGCCTTGCTCCCCCTAGTATAAGTAAATAGCAAAACAGTTACGTGAAAGGATGCGTTTCTGGAATTGGTATCTGTCTGGTACAGGGATGTTGTGGCACAATGCTTAATTAGGAATGGCACGTTTCTAAGGTGCAGTAAGGGGTGAGGGGTTTGGGATGGATGTTTAACATCGCTGTTGAATGCCAGAGGTAAAAGCATTGCTCTCGTGCAATGGCTTTGAATCCTGGGGTAAGTAACATTGAGCAGAGTGATTTCCCGAGGTCTGGAGGGGATCATTTCAGCAGCCTCAGGAGATGCATCGGTGGCATGAGAAGGTGAAATGCTCCTTTAACACACACAGACCTGAGGTGCAGCAATCTAGAATTGTAGAATCACAGAATTGTTTAGGTTAGAAGAGCCCTTTAAGCTCCCCAAGCCCAACCGTTCCCCTAACCCTGCCATCCCAGCACTAAACCCTGTCCCTAAGCACCTCGTCTGCCCAGCTTTTAAATCCCCCCAGGGATGGGGACTCGACCCCTTCCCTGGGCATCTCCTTCCAGTGCTTGACAGCCCTTTTGATGAAATCTGCAGCATCCCTAGGCGTTTTTGAGATTTTGGAGCGGATCTTGCAGGTCTGCTGCCAGTCCTGGCAGGTGGAGGAGTATTTTCCTCTTCGCTCTTTCTTTCCTTAGGCTTTCGGATTTATGACGCGTGTTGCTCTACAAGCAGAGAAGATGAATCACCACCCGGAATGGTTTAATGTCTACAGCAAGGTAACGTGTTCACCAGCCCTAGCCACAGGCATGGCTAAGTCAAGAAGGCCAAACCACCAGCCCATGCTCTCTGCCTTTTTTTGTAGCTTATATACAAGGCAAGGGAATGGAAGGAGGTTGTGTCTTTTTAAAGAGATTTCAGATTTTAAAGAGATGCTGAGATATTTGCAGTGGTGAGGAACTGGGAATGAAGCTCTTTGCAATTGCTGCCAGCCCCATGCTTTGGACCTGTCGCTTCACCTCTGGCTGAGATCTAAAAATGAAATAGAAGCCTTTAAACTCCTATTTAGCCAACCTGAATAAACGACTGTTTTGGAACTGCTCACCAACTCTCATTCCTTTCTGCACAAGAAGTCGGGAGCCCAGCGGTGTAGGGTAGCAGACCATCAATGTGTAGGTACCTAAATGGGAGCCTGGCAGTCTCAACTTAGGTTTGATTTTTGAAAAAAAATTGTAGGCTCCTATGTCTCAACATAGCAGCTTATAAAATTTGTTTATAATATTACCTAGCTGATGGTGGTCTCATATTTACAAGGGTTGCAGGGTATACTGCAACCCTCGAATGAAAGGTGCTGTGTGAAGGGGGAAATTACTGCTCTCCCTTTATTTTTATTTTCTAATACTTCTCATTGCGTTCTATCCAGTTGTTTGGTTTAGCATTTGGTGAATACATGGCAATCCCGTTAAAAATATACTAAAAGGACATGTGGACAAGCAGAGCAGGACATCCCCACCTCTCCCCTCGACAGAGGCATCCCCAGCACAGGCTGCTCCTCACCCGCCCTTTGGGTCGCCCTGTTTAAGGGGACATTAAACGGTCACCGGACAAAGTCCCGCTCACCAACTCTTCATGATTTTCTTGGCTTTCCAGAATATTCAGGATTTATCTTTTTCTTTTTTTTTCCCCCCCCGCCTCGTCTCTCTTCCCCAAAATCTCAGTCAAAGGCGAGACAAAGTAACGCCCAACTTGTCATCTGGCTTAGTCTAAACAAACCCGTGCAGGCAGCTGCGTCATAGCAAAGCGCACCAGGCCATTTGTTTTTCTTCTTGAAATTAATCGGCAACAAGCTCAACAATTTTTTCACCTTCGGGGTGCTGGTTTTTAACAAAACGCGTGAGCCCCTGACTCCGCTGTTGGCAGCTTGGTCGCTGGCCCAGGTTCTTCGTGAAACCGATCCGTGGAATTAAATGCAAAGAAAGAATGAGTTATTTAATCGGACACCTCTTCTTGGATGAAGCCCAGGAATGCAAGGTCTGGTTTATTCTGCGAAGGGGCTCGCTTTGGTTAGACTCGAGGCTCTGTTCAGCCTCCTCACCTACAACGTCGTCTGGTTTAGGTGAGCGTCCAGCTCGCTGCTTGCAGGGCCCCTCCCGTAAAACCAGTTTGCTACGGAGACACGCAGCGTTCCCGGTGAATTGCTGCTCAGCCTACGTGGCAGAGATCAAGACAGCTTTGTAACCCCTTTCTTTTCCTTTCTGGCAGGTTCAGATAACTCTGATTTCCCACGACTGCGGGGGACTGACCAAGAGAGATGTGAAGCTGGCTCAGTTTATTGACAAAGCTGCTGCCTCGGTGTAACAAAGATGTAAAACTTTTTAATACCGTGTCCACCAACATTTTGTATTTGAGCGCTGTCCCTCACTCCTCGTAACCCTGATTTCACAAAGCCCCTGAGACGAGGTATTTTGTAGAAAGAGTGGCTTAGCTCGCTTTGCCTTTTAGTCTGAGACCCCCTCTGGATGCCCGTGCTTGTCCTTTGCTGGCTCTGCCTGAGGATGCGGCAGATAAACCAGCGACAAGTACATTTTGAACAGTCCTTTTCTAGAACCTAAAGCAAGCTGGCATGAAAGCAGGAGCCCACCCGCACGTGTCGGTGTTCCCCAAAGCCCACGGGAGCCAAGGCCGGTGGCAGCCACCACGCGAGCCTGCCCTGAGCCCGGCCGCTTCCCTCCTATTCCCTGCAAACCCTGCAGAGATTTGTACCTCCCTGCACTTCAGGCAGGGTGAGGGCAGCCAGGCCGGGTCGGTCCCCTCTGGTTTGGTTCCTCCACCTGCACCAGTGACCAGTGGCAGGTCTGGGGTGTGCTGGTGAGCGCAGCCCAAGCAGCTGATGATCTTTCCTAGAAGTTGCAGCTCACCCAGCAGTTACAGCTTTGCATTTTGGTGTTTATTCTGTGCTTGTCCAATGGCTCTTCAAACCCGTCTGGCCTTCCGGCACCCACCGCCGAGCAGCCGTACCCAGCAAAAGCCTTGCTGCGTGCTTGAGAACCGTTCCCGACCTGAGATGCAGGGCTGGATCCTGCGGTTGCTGAAAACTTTAGCTCTGCTCCAGCAAATACAAAAGAAATCCCAGTGAGCTCCTGGCACTCGCATCATTAAACGAAGCATGTGCTTAAGTGCTTGGCTGGGCCGGGTCAGTGCTCAGCACCTTGCAGGATCGAGCCATTATTTGTGTGGTAACGCTCCCGTACCTGCCGGATCGGGGGGTGGCTTGGCCGGGTGCCCGGAGCACCGGCCAGAGCTGCCGGCGGTGAAGGAAGCAGCATTAGCAGGATTCTTGCTAAGCTGGGCTCGGCTGAAGCTATGCTCACCTTTTTTTTTTTTTTTTGGTATCTACAATTACTCATTGCGAACGCTGTTCCAAGAGCTGCAGATCCCGCTGACGAGCTTTCAAATCATTTCTTCCGTGGTTTCAAAGTCTTTGTTTTTATCCTCACCGAGACAGCTTTCCCCTGCCAGCAGGGAGATTTCAACCTGCTTAAGGCTTGCAGAAGGGCCTCTGGCTCTGCAATCCTGCCGCCGAGTGTCCCCAACAAGCACCGGCATGCCCTGCAAGCAGCTCTGGGCGCGGAGCTCCCGGGAGATTGACGCCTCCGAAATGCCTGAGTGCATTGCTAGAATGACACCGGCGGCACCGCTACCAGCTACCGCGAAGTGAGATACACACTGAGCGCCCAAATCTGTATCGGGTGTCTACGCGAGGTGGGTGGTCTCTCAGACATTTGGGATGCAAAGCGCCACAAGCTGCCGTGCAAGTATTCACGTCGATAAAATAAGAAAGGTATTTTTTGTTAATCCTTAGCAAGCGCGCTGTCATGTGCTAATGGGTCGCAGGAAGCGAGATGTAAGACGTTGGGGTTTGCTGTCAGTAACCCTGCCGGGGGTATCAAGTTAATACCCAAAAGGACCCAAACTCAGACTACGTGCTCAAGTGTTCCTTGCTCACAAGTGCCTTTCCCCAGCGAAGCGGCGGATTTCCCCGATATGGTCTGAAAATGGGCACTGTTGCGAGGAATGAATAAAACTCAAGCGGCCCAAGCGGGCCCTGATGTCTCCTGTTACTGGTGGGGAAGGCGAAGGGGCTTCGCCCAAAGTTTTGACAACGCCTCTAACAAACTGTGAAAACTCTCTTGTTCGAAATTGATATATGATGTGTGCGCTCTGAATAAAACCAATAAAATCAAATTCCTCCTGTGTAATTTGTTTCTTTATTATTGTGCCTGTGTGACAAAGCTGTTTAACTTTCAGATAAATTTAAGATAAATAATATTTTGTTACTGGCAGGTCTTTGGTTTAGAATATTGATATTTATTTACATACTTGGAGGGAAAAAAATCCTCACCAACTCTTTTAGCTCAGAGAGCTGCACTGTCCAGCTGTGGCACAGAGCTGTGCAGCCGTGGTGGTTTGAGGAGCCCTGACTGGTGAAGCGGCAAAAATACTCAGAAAAGAGGAGGGTGGCTTTGAAGTGCTTGTAGTCAGCGCTTGTTTAACCACGGTTCCTTAACTTCCAGGGCGTCCCACAGACCTGCGACTGCCTTTCGGGAGCGTTGCTGTGCCACGCTAAGAAGAATAAAGTAAAAATAGCGAATAGCGCCCTCGGCTTTGTTCGGCTGCCGCTGGCCGCTCCCCGCGTGGGCCGGTAGCCCCGCTGCTCACCCGGGGAAGCAGTGCCGCCCTCCTGGGCTTTGCTTCGCCTTGCAGGCACCAGAGATCTCTCTCATTATAAAAACACCTTTTATCTGGGGTTTGTTTCATTTTCTTTTTGGACTGGATCCCCAGCGTTTCTGAAACGCACCCCGAATCTGCGGTGAGCCCCCACTGAACTCCACCTCCCGCCCCGGCTCAGCAGCATCCCCAGCTCGCTGCTCTCCGCAGAGCGGGGCGGGGGAGCCCCGTGATGCCGAGGAGCCCCGACCCCCCCTTCACACAGCTCCCTAAATCCCCAGCAGCCAGCTCGCGCCCGCTCCGTGCTCCTGCATCTCCCCAGCTCCTCTCCACCTGCACGCGTGTTTGCCGGTGCGGCGAGCGCAGGATGCCGAGGGCCATGGGGAGGGGATGCACAAGTCTCCCCGACCGAGCTGGAACTTCACGGCAAATTTATACAGCAAGGATTTAATGACAGGCGCTGGACTGGGGCCAGGAAACTCAGCCTAAGGCGCCTTCTCTTGTGAAGAGCATCGTCAGCTCTGAACAAAAGTAGCCAGCGCGTGGGGTTTGGGTCTTTTCCAGGTGGTGGCATCGCTGGAGCCGTGCTGCTCCGTGCCGTTACGGATCGAGCAGCTGCCCAACGTGCGGCTTCCTCGCCTGTGCCGGCTTCTCCTCGGGGTCGGTTTGGCGTCTGCTCCCCGTGAGTCTGCAAGGTTGCACCCCAGCGCGGGACGGTGCCGCTCCGGCCAACTCATCACATCTCCCTGTTTGCTGCGAGATTCGGCTCATGGCTGGCAGCCACCAGGTTAAATACTCCCCTGGAGTGTTTGTGGGTTTTTTTGCTTTAAGGCAGATTGTGGTTTGAAGTATTTGGGTAATCCATCGCAGAACAGACTTCTCCTTGCAGGTAACTTCCCTGTGTCGAGATTGATTTAACTCGGGGTGTCCCAGCGGCCAACCCAGTCCGTGGCACGTGGGAAGCACCGTCCCTGGGAGACTCTCCGATGGAGCTCCGTGGCCACAGGAAATTAAAAAGCAAAAACTCAAGGCTGAGAGAGCGGAGTGGGAAAGATGCCTGCAGCATGCGACGTGGTTGGGATCGCTGCTCAGGTCCTGCGAGGCTGGAGCTCGCACCTTCACAGGGCTGTCTCTGAAACAGAGCCAGTGAATAATCCCTTCCCCAAAATGGGAGCTCGGGTCCAGTAAATTGCAAAAATCATATCGAAAGGGCTGGCGTCGGTGTCAGATGTGCTCCACGGCTCTGGGAACAGGGTCCCCCAGGCACCTCTGCAGGAACGAGCTGGGAAACAAATTTCTCTGTCTTGGTTTGTGAGTTACAGCTCTGTCTGACCGCGCCGGGCTTCCTCCTGCCCTTCCTCCTCCTCCCGGCCCCCCAGACTGCCAGCCAAGGCGCGGTGGTGGAGTGGCTGAGGAGGAGCAGACCCTGAAAGGCTTTATGAGGATGTGTCCTCACCCAGCTGCTTCTCAAGGCTGGAAGGACGGACTGACATGGTTATTTTTCAGATGCTTTCCTGTTGTCCGGGGCACTTCC